ATCATGTTGATATGCAAATGTCATTTTCAGAATGTATAAGAAAATCGGTAAAATGGTACAAGAAAGTTTTTTTCCACCTATTGGATATGGCAGTATATAATGCATTTGTAATTTATAAAATGCAAAATGATATTTCGCGCCACTTATCTGATTTTCGGCTCGATCTGATCAGAGAAATTTTGACAAAGTTCGGACCACAAAGGCCAACTACTATTGGAAGACCATCGACAAGGCCTTCTCCTCTCCGTTTAACTGCTCGACATTTCCCTTCGTTCATTCGACAAAACATCGCAACTAGAACAGCCTCGACGGCAATGCGCGGTGTGCTCATCCCATAATCTTCGACGCGTTACACGATATATGTGTTCTGACTGTAATATACCACTATTTATTGTTGATTGCTTCAAAGACTATCATACAAAGATGAACTATTAATGTTTTTTAGAACAGAAATGAAATTTCTTTGTGAAAAAAATAAAAATCATATTTAAACATTAATTTTAAAAACTTTGATTTTCACAAAAAAAAGCCGGGAGCCAAAGGGTTAAATTAAGTTGTTTAAGAGGATTTACTGAATAAACATGTACTTCTTTATCATGTTTATGATGCTGTGGAAATTTGAACTGATAGTCACCTATTTGTCCTCCTTGAGTTTTAATAGAATTAATAATTGATATTTTTTCGCATCTATTTATAAATGATTTTACAGTAAAATTAGTAATCGATGAATAAGGACCTGATAAAGCGCGAGCTATTCGAAACGTGTTCTCGCAAGTTTGAGAATTAAAAAGATATGTACTGAGTGCATCAACAGGTAATTTATTTTTAATTACTAATAAAATAATATAAAGCAACGTATGAGCATTAATCTCAATACACCAAAATGTTGGTTTAGTAATAAAGCTGTTTGATTTAACTTGTTTTACTGATTCTGAATTATCATTATTGCTACTATTTTTTATTGCCCAATAATGGATCCATGGCCACCACAATCTACATGTGAAGACTACCGTCCATATGTGATACAATCGTTCTTCAATTGTACTAGACTTTTCGATAAATCCTATTATAATCGAACGCAATAGTGATAAATAAACGTAAGTTCCTTTAAAATTTTCATTCTTATTTAACAAATTGAGAACATTGTCTGAAGATATTCGTCGACAACATGGAAAATTTTGTCGATCTTTTAAAATTAATATCACATTTAATTAAACTATGTTCAATTTTACTATATGATTCAATTAAATATATTATATGTTGTTTATCAATTAAATATTTGCCCATTTTCATGGATGCTACTTCAGAAAGAAGTCTATTTCTAAACTTAGTTGCAACATGAATTGGATCTTGCATGAAAAGAAGAATTTGTTGCTCTTTCATGAAAAACCAATTCCATTGTCTTGGAAATGTTAATAGAAAACTCATCATGATTTTTAAATAAATTTAAATTCGGT